TTTTGAGTTGATGTTGGTGCATGGTGATAGGCTGGGGTCCAAATTTAGTCTTCCACATGTGGCTGTCCAGTTTTCCCAGCACCAGTGGTTGAAGAGGCTGTGTTTCTTCCATTGTATGTCTTTGGCTCCTTTGTCAAATATCAGCTGACTGTAGGCATGTGGATTTATTTCTGGATCTTCTAGTCTCTTCTATTCCATTGGTCTTCGGGTCTGTTTTTGTGCCAGGACCATGCTGTCTTTGTTATTATGGCTCTGTAGTAGAGTTTGAAGTTCGGCATGGATATCCCTCCCATCTTGTCTTTATTCCCTAAAATTGTTTTGGCTATTCTAGGTCTTTTGTTGTTCCATATGAATTTTTGGACTGTTTTCTGTATTTCAGAGATGTATGTCATTGGGATTTTTATAGGAATTGCATTGAATTTGTATATTAATTTTGGCAGTATTGCCATTTTCACTATATTAAGTCTGCCTATCCAAGAGCATGGGAGGTCTTTCCATTTCCTAGTGTCTTCTGCAATTTCTTTCTTTAATTTTTTATGATTTTCATTAAATAGCTCTTTTATATCTTTGGTTAGGTTAATTCCTAAATATTTTATTTTGGGGGAGGTTATTGTGAATGGGATTGCTTCCTTTATTTCCCTCTCTGCTTGTACATTGTCAGTGTACAGGAAGGCGACTGATTTTTGTGGGTTGATTTTGTATGCTGCTACTTTGCCAAAGTAATTTATGATTTCTAAAAGTTTGGGGATGGAGTTTTTGGGATCGTGGAGGTATAGTATCATGTCATCTGCAAAAAGGGATAGTTTTAACTTCTTCTTTCCCTATGCGGATCCCTTTAATGTGTTTTTCTTGCCTTATTGCCCTGGCTAAGGGTTCCAGGACTATGTTGAAGAGGAGTGGAGACAGTGGGCATCCTTGCCTTGTTCCTGATTTTAGGAGGATTGGTTGTAGCTTTTCCCCATTAAGTATAGTATTAGCTATTGGTCTGTCATAAATGGCTTTTATTGTTTTAAGAAATCTTCCTTCTATTCCTATTTTCTCCAGAGCTTTTAGCATGAATGAATGTTGAATTTTAGCAAAGGCCTTTTTTGCATCTGTGGAGATAATCATGTGATTCTTGACCTTGACTCTGTTGATAATGTTGGATTACATTTATTGATTTATGTATGTTAAACCATCCCTGCATCTCTGGGATGAAGCCTACCTGGCCATAGTGTATGATTTCTTTGTATGTGTTTCTGGATCCTGTTAGCTAGAATTTTGTTAAGGATCTTTGCATCTGTGTTCATCAAGGAAATTGGCCTGTAATTCTCTTTTTTGGTTGGGTCTTGGCCTGGTTTGGGGATGAGTATGATACTGGCATTGTAGAATGAGTTTGGGATAGCTCCCTCCTTCTCTGTTTCTCTGAAGAGCTTGAGGATTATGGGTATTAGTTCTTCTTTAAAGGTCTTACAGAATTCTGTTGTGAATCCATCTGGTCCTGGGCTTTTCTTTGTTGGAAGACTTCTGATTGCTTCCTATATCTCGTTGTAGTATATTGGCTTATTTAATTGATTTACTTCTTCTTTGCTTAGTTTGGGCAACTTGTAGATCTGTAAAAATGCATCCATTTCTGCCGGGTTTTCTTTCTTTAGAGAGTATAACTTTTGAAAGTAGTCCGTTAAAATTGTTTGGATATCTTGGGTACGTGTTGTGAGTTTTACCGTGGCATCTCTAATCTTGTTAATACGGGTTTCTTCTCTTCTTTTTTTAATTAATCTTGCCTATGGTCCACCAATTTTATTTATTTTTTCAAAGAGCCAGCTTTTTGTTTTGTTAATTTTGGCTGTGATTCTCCTATTCTCTATTTCATTAATCTCTGCTCTTAGTTTGGTTATCTTGCTCCATCTAGTAACTTTAGGTTCCATTTTTTCATGTTTTTTCTAGCTGTTTTAATTGCAACATGAGATGATTTACCTGGTCTGTCTCTATTTTCTTGATGTGGGCACTGGGGGCAATAAATTTGCCCCTCAGGACTGCTTTTGCTGTGTCCCACAAGTTTCTTTTTTTTTTTTTCCAGGGCTGAGGATCGAACCCAGGGCTTTGCGCGTGCTGAGCGGGCGGCCTTCCGCTGGGCTAAACCCCCAGCCCCTCCCACAAGTTTCTTTGTGATGTGTTTTTATTTTCCTTGAGTTGTAGGAATTTTTTAATTTCTTCTTTAATCTCTTCTGTTACCCAGGCATTGCTTAGAAGTGGGCTGTTCAATTTCCATGTATTTGAGTAATTTCTTCGGTATGCTTTGTTATTGAGAACTAGCTTGATTCCACTGTGGTCAGATAGGATACAGGGGATTATGTCAATCCCCTTGTATTTGTTTAAGTTCCTTGCATGAACTATGATATGGTCCATTTGGGAGAAAGTTCCATGAGCTGCTGAGAAGAACGTGTACTGTGTTGTTCTAGGGTGAAATACTTGGTAGATGTCAGTTAATTCCGCTTGAAGTATGGCCTCACTTAATTCGGTAGCTTCTTTGCCAATCCTCTGTTTGGTAAACCTGTCCTTTGGTGAGAGTAGGGTGTTAAAGTCTCCTAGTATTATCGTATTGGGATCTATTTTATTCTATAAGTTTGAGAGTATTTGCTTAACATTTCTGGGTGTGCCAAGGTTTGGGAAATATCCTCCTCTTGGATTGTTCCCTGTATTAATATGTAGTGTCCGTCCTTGTCTTTTTGTATTGATTTTAATGAAGAGTTTATTTTGTCAGATATCAGGATAGCTACTCCTGCTTTCTTACTGGGGGCATTTGATTGGTAGATCCTTTTCCAACCCTTCACTCTGAGTTTGTTTGTATGTTTGGCTGAGAGGTGGGTCTCCTGAAGGCAACAGATGGATGGGTCATGTTTTCTGATCCACTCTGCAGTTCTTTTTCTTTTGATTGGTGAATTAAGACCGTTAATATTAAGAGATAGTATAGAGAGATGCATTGTGGTCCCTGTCATTCCCTGTTTTGCTCAGTTTTTCTTCTTTCCTTTCCTCCTGTGCTTGCTCAGTTAGACTTCTATTAATACCTGTCTGGGTGCAGGTCCCTGTTCCTGCTTGCTTTCTTCAGGTTGTGTTCCCCCTCTTAGTATTCTTTGTAATGCTGAAATGCCATAATTTAAAAAAATCAATAAGAGATCCTTAAGATCGAACACCCTAGGATCTTTCATTTTCTTTACGTAAAGACTACTACCAGACGTGGGCATAGGAGAGGATGATGGGAGGGGTGAGTCTGATTAAGATACATTGGAAGCATAGACAGATACACATAAAAATGAAACTCATTTACAATTAATTTTAAAAAGTAGGAAAAAGAATAAAATGTGGACTAGTTAAATATATCTTTGCATGTATCTTCAAAAGCTGTGCAAAACTGTGCATATCATAGCCTTGTAAAATGTCATGATTTTTAATATATCTATAAATTTAGAGAGCTGTCAGCAAATTATGATGTAGAGTCATTTAGTACATTTTGTTATTTCTGGTTATCAGGAGTCAAATTTTAATATAAGATTAAGCCTCAGGTCCAGTATTATTTAATGGCATAGTGGTTATGAGTTAAAGAAGTTAGCACCAAGTTGCTTGGATTTGTTCTTTTCTCTGGTATGCATTTGGAAATGTGACATGAGAACAGTCTTTCAACCCTTGAGTTACTTCATCTGAACAAATGAAAGAACCAATTTATAGCCGAGGTTTTTAGATGTTTTAAAAATCCAAGACTTTTTTTTGGTCTGTCATGGGGCTTGGACTCTGGGCTTGGGTGCTGTCCCTGCGCTCTTCAGCTCAAGGCAAGCGCTCTACCGCTTGAGCTACAGTGCCATCCAGTTTTCTAGTGGTTTATTGGAGATAAGAGTCTCACAGACTTTCTTCTGGGCTGGCTTTGAACCATGATCCTCAGATATCAGCCTCCTGAGTAGCTAGGATTACAGGCATGAGCCACCTGTGCCCAGCTTCCAAGACTATTTTTTAAGTGCTGAAACTAGGCTGGATACTCTAGAATCACACTCTAAGAAAAAGCATCTAAAATTAATTGGACTGACATCAGCTTTAGGATGCTTACCATGAGCAGAAGGAACCCATTTTTGGGGATTGGTTTGTTGGTTTTGTGGTACTTTCCATGAGTTAAACAGGAGGGTGTTTCATTGCTGCATTTCTACACATTTACAATGTTTTCCAATCAATCCAACCCCCTGTACCATTTTTCCTTTTGTGTTTTCTTAATTTAAGGTTTTTAATTAGTCTGAAGGTAATGATTTTGAAAGCATGGCCTTTTTTCCTAGTAAATATGTAAATTATTTCTGCATATGAACATTGTAGCTCTCTACATGGACATATTTCTTTTTCTTTTTTTTTTTACATTTCTTTTTTGTTGTTGTTATTGTGAAAATACTGTACAGAGGGGTTACAATTACATGGGCAAGATAATGAGTACATTTTATCAAGCATTGTAGCCTCCTCCTTTGTTTCCCCTTCCCATCCCTTCCCATCCTCCCCCTGCCCCACCACCCAATCCTCCTCGCTCCCCCCACCACCACCAAAGTTGTAAAGTTTGTTTTCGACATAGCGGCTTGTACATCTCATTGTTGGAATGGGTCCACCTGTATCCCTATTTAAACCATTTGTTTTTCCCCTTCCCCTCCACAAATTCAAATACAGTGAAAGCAGGGGTTATATTGTAGGGGAGGGGGGGACATACAAAGCAACAAAGAAATAATCTTATAAATGTGTTAGAAACAATTGCATGAAAGAAAAAAACATTTGAATACATGAAAGAAAAAAACATTTGAATACATAGACATATTTCTTACATGAGTTGATATTCTTAACTTATTGTGAGTCATACTGGGATGTGGTATTCATAGCCACAATGACAAATTCAGACATCTTATTTTAAAAATAAAATTTGGTTGTTTTAAACCATGAGTTTAATCATGAATTTGCTTTGATAGAAATAGTAAAAGAAATGTTGGTTTTGTTTTTAGAATCAAGTCATTTGGAACAGCAACTTGAAGAAGCTAATTCTGCAAGGCGGGAACTCGATGATGCTTTCAGACAAATCAAAGCTTGTGAAAAACAAATCAAAATCTTACAACAGGAGAGGGAGGAGCTGAATAAGGTAAATATGACAGAGCATGTTAGTAAAGGCTGCTCCTACTCCTCATCTCGAACAACTAGAAGAATGAAACCATTCGTATGAATTATAACAAAAATACTTCTTTTTAAAATTTGGTTTAAGAACTTAAGAATTATTGAATGTATATCATTTGATTATTAGCTATTAACAAAGAATCTTACATTCTTGAGGCCCTAAAGTTCAGAATCTTTTATGCATTTGGAAAGTTCATCAGAGAACTTGATTAAAATAAGTGTTACTATAGAAAAAAGAGTATTATGAGGATGTTAAGGAACAGTAAGATATGTTTCGTGTCTAAAAAGTAAAAATATGGACAAATTTTGTTTTTTTAAACCACATGCTTTTATTTATTTATTTTTTACATTTTGTCAGTTGTGAGGCTTGAACTCTGGGCCTCAGTGCTGTCCTCAGCTCTTCAGCTCAAGGCAAGCTCTCTACCACTTGAGCCACAGCGCCACTTCCTTGACAAATTTTCATTATAATTTACTGATGGGAACATTCTTTAAAATGTCTTCAATGATTTTTCTAAATGTCAATTTTTCTTCCAAAGCAGCACAATTAAACAAGCTCGAGTCACTTTTGTAAGAATGTTGTATAAAACCTAAACATGATCAGAAAACTTGATCTAGATGCTACTAAGTACTGTGATTTTCATTAATAAAAGAATTTTGGGATTGTTTCTGGCCAATTCAAACACAAGATAAGTAGTTCATAGTACAATTCAGTGATATGAGATACAATGCATTGATGAATATAGAGTGAAGTCCTTCCAAGAGAGATTCAAGGCATTATGCTTTCTAGGCAGCCACTGGAGTTGGGGACAAGTTGTATTAAATAAACAAAAAAGTAAAAATAAAAGTTTTTTTGCTTTTAAAGTTCATAATATTTTGATCATTTGGAAAGAAGTCAATTAAAAGGCCTGGTAGAGCTATTAAAGGGTGAATTTGAGTGTCACCCTTGGCTCTCACCTGTAATCCTAGCTACTCAGGAGCCGGAGATTTTTTTTGGGGGGGAGGTCCGGTTGTGGGGCCTGAACTCTGGGCCTGGGCGCTGTCCCTCAGCTCTTCAGCTCAAGGCTAGCACTCTACCACTTGAGCCACAGCGCCACTTCTGGCTTTTTTCTTTTTGCTTATGTGATGCTGAGGAATGGAACCCAGGGCCTCATACATGCAAGGCAAGCGCTCTACCACTGAGCCACCTTCCCAGCCTGAGCCTGAAATCTTACGATCACAGTTTGAAGCCAGCTCAGCCCCTAAGACTCTTAATCTCCAGCCAACTACCAAATGAGCTGAAAGTGGAGCTGTTGCTCAAGTGGTAGAGTGCTAACCTTGAGCACAAAAAGCCTCCAAATTCAAGCCCTAATAACTGGCACAACAAAAGTAAAATAAAGACTGATTTTTATTTTCCCTTCCTGCAGTTTGAATTGTATAGATCATTTCAATTGATAGCCAGTGTAGTGACATTTGACATATGTTACATATTTTATGTGCTTTTTAAGTGCTTTGAGAATAATGCTGTAATATTATTAGTGGTTTATTAGATTCTATTTATTGGTAGCATTAGTAAATTTTAGTTAACAAAATAATGAAATTCCGAATTCTCAGTTTATGGCAATAGGTATTTGGGCAGTTTTAAGTAAATTTTAATGCCAGACCCTTTTAACAGGAGAAAGGTAGAGCTGAAAAGAGACAGATTATTCCAGTACAAAATTTTAAGTGGTTTAGCTAATAGTCTGTAGACAGTAGAGAGGCATCTCAGTTTTTCCATGTCCTTGCCAACTTGTGCTATCTAAATATTTTTTTCATAGTAGCCATTTTAACAGCTGGGTGATTTCAACATCTATGATGATTATTGATATTAAGCACTGTTTCGTGTACCTATTGGCTGATTCTTTGTCTTCCTTGGCAAAATCTCCTTTGCCCATTTCTAAGCTAGCAAATATTCTGTTCTTTATGATAATGCCAGGTTGGCTCCTAGTGTAACACCTATTACATTCTTCCAGTGATGTATAGGAGTTTCTGTGTTCAACAATATTTCATTACTGTGTTTTCCTTTGGACCAGACTACTCTAAATTGAGATTTTTAAGACCGAAATGATTTTATTGTTTGTCATTTGCATTTCTCTACTGAGGTTGTCAGGTTTCTTTGATCACTTGTACTGTCCACTATTTGAACTCTTTCTTTAGTGAAGTTCCTTAGTACAGTACTAAGTGTCCTTAATACAGTTTTCTGTTTGGTTGTTAGTCTTTTTCTTACTGGCTTATAAGAATTCCAAAATTTCTGGTCAGAATAACATATTTCAGTAGTTATGAATATTAAAAAGATACCCAGCTTGTCTTTGTACTTTAATTTTTCAGGTACTGGGATTTGAGCTTAGACCTTGTGTTTGTTAGGAATGCATTCTACTACTGAGCATAGACTCTGCCCAAAACTCTTATTTTTTTGTGTAATTGTTTGTCAGTATTTTAATTTATATATACTTACGCATGTCGGTATAGGAAGTAGGTGGTTAAAAAAATTCTCCAAAATTTCTATCCTGATTATTTTTATTTTTTGTCAGTTGTGGGGCTTGAACTCATGGCCTAGGCATTGTTCTTGAGTTCTTCCGCTCAAGGCTGGTGCTGTGCCACTTTGAGCCACAGCACCGCTTCTGGTTTTTGAGTGGTTAATTGGCTTTGAACTATGATCCTCAGATCTCAGCCTCCTGAGTAGCTAGGATTACAAGTGTGAGCCACCAATGCCTGGCTTCTATCCTAATTTTTACAAGTTTCATCTTTGGTATTTATGTCATTATGACCACCAGTGTACACCACTGATGTAGCTTTGGGGTTCTCCTTTGATGGATTGATATAGTGACTTACATTATAGACTTCATACTTCTACTGCATTTCTGAGTGAAGCCCAAATTACTCATGCATTACGTACTAAATAAATGGTAGCATATGTCATGTTTATGTTGCGGATTACTCTAGCACTATTACCAGTGCTTTATAAATATATCTTAATATTGTTTAATTTTTATCACAACTCCCTCAGGTTAGGTATTATTACTATGTTTTATTCTCCTTTTACTAATGGTGAGACTGAGTCCTGAGGAGTTGTTTTGTTCAAGTGTAGTTGGGATAGAAAGAGATGGAGCTGGACTTGAACACAAAGAATCTACACCAGATTTTCATATGTGTCAGCTTTGTACATCACTGGAAAGGATTTGCTCATTTAAAAAGAATCCTTACCACTGTTTTCCTGAGTGAGGTTGGCTTACAATTTTTTCTCTTACCTTTCTTGCTTTTTTTCATATTCAGAAGATATTAATATCAGGAAGAATGGGGGCCGCTTTGCTTCTTTTTTATTCTCTTGGGCAGCATATGTAGGAGCAGTGCTCCGTGGAGGAGCCACTGGCTGGGAGGACCAGGGGGCTAAGATTTCCCACACCGCTGTGAGAACGGGCACTGCGGATAACAATTGGGTCTGTTACTTTATTAACTGAAAACAATTTTGATGAATGCAGTTTTCTGGGAAATTGTTCACTTTATAACAACAGATGTATCGTATAGAACTCTCTTATAGTTTCCTGATATCTCCTTTGATCTCTTCTAGATTTGTAGTTATGGTCTCTGTTTGCTTTCCTTATTTTATTTTCTATGACTGCATGTTGTTCCCCTGATCAACACCTCAAAGAATCACTTTTGGCTTTGTTGATCTTTATTATTCTTTCTGTTACATCCATTTATAGTCACTATTACTGCTCTATTTCAAACTTCCTTAAGAAGAATCATTGAGTTGCAACCTGGTTTTTCCTTTCCAAGTATTTCAGGCTGTGAGTCCCCCACTAAACAGAGCTTTACTGCATCATCAAGTTTTATAATGTGCTAAACATTTTTCTGTTTGTTTCTGTATCTTTAATTTTTTTAGTTTTAAATATTTTAATCTGTGATTTTTTTTCTTGGACAAATGAATTTCTTGTAAATGTATTTTACAATTTCAATGTAGGATGTTATCTTTTTATTGTTTATTATTGCAGTGTTATCTAAGAACTTGATCTATATGATACCTGTTCTGTGAAATCTATTAGACTTTCATAGTTAAGACTTTAGTTTCATTTTTTTAAATATTCAATGCATATTCTTGAAAAGAGTGTGCATTTCAAATACAGGATATAAACTTCTATACATCTGAGGCTTGTAGAGAACTTTTGACATAATTCTTCCTAGTCACTATTTTAACTACTTTATTTAAATATTAATAATTAAAAATTGAAATTTCTAATCGTAGTGATGAGTGTACCAATTTTCTCTGAAATTCTAGTAATTTCTTTTTAATATATTTTAAGACTATCTTATAAAATTCATAGAACTTTCTAATGATGTTGAATTTTGTGTTGTTTTAGTTATATTCCTGTCCTGACAATCCTTTTTTCTGCTAAGGTCTAGATTTTGTTTCTTAATCTGGTATAAGTACCTTTAACTGGTGAGTTTAGCCATTTTATGTATCTACTATGATTACTACTGTTTATGGATATGTTTCTACCTCTTTTGGCTTTCTACTTGTCACACTTTCCTATGCTTCCTTTGTTCTCCTTTCACTAAAAAATGTAAAATACATGTCACACAATATTTACCAACTTAACATTTTAAGTATGCAGTTTAATAGTAGTAAATACATACATATTGTGTACAACCAGTCTCAATTTTTTGTCAAATCTTTTTATAGGTATTTTGGCTTTTGGTTTGTATTTTCTATTCTTTTGGAGTTAGGTTTGCATTTTGCCATGTATATTTACAATTAAATTAAATTTAGTATCTTAAGCTACTCCCCCTAAGTAACATAAGGGCATTTACTACTTCTTCCCAATTTATATACTGTTTTTGACAAATATTTTAGTAATTATTTCCTTTATTGTAAAAATTAGACATTTTAATAATATAATCATACATATACATTTCTCATGCTTACATTAGTTACTAGTTTCTTAGTCCTCCATTTTTCTTGTGTTCTAGTTACTTCTGAAATATTTTTTTCTAAAATAAAATTAAGATTTTTATAGTACAGATCTGATTTAATAGACTATTAATTTTGTATGTATGAATCTTTATACTTGAAAATAATTTTTCTGGCCGTACAATAGTAGTTTTCATTTCTTTGAAAATATTTTCTTCTTTCTTTGCTGTTGTTACTTCCTATGCCTGTTCTGAGTCTGATTGTGAGTGGCGAGTAAGCGATTTTGTCAAATACACAACATATACATATTCATCTTTTTAAGTTTATTTCTCTGGTGTTATCCAGTTTCAGTTTTTCTGGGTTTGGTTTCTTTTTTCTTTTGCTTGCTTCATAAATGTAGAAAGACATGATAGATCCATGTCTTTCATTTTAAACACATTGTTTCCATTTCTTAAGGCTTGATAAAGTTCTTTTATAAACCTATGGTAATTTTTAATAATCCTTTGTTATCTTGTCATTTTTATCATGCTTTCTTTTATTTTTTCAAATAGTTCATTCATAACAATCTTACACTGATATCTGATGATTCCAATACCCAAATACTTTTCTCGCTTATTTTCTGTTGTTCCTATTGTTTGATTAGGGAGGTTTATTCTTTGAGTCTTTGGGAGTCCGTGCTTATGAGCTCTTATTTGTTCGTTCTTCATGTGTGAAAAATTAAAATTCCTTGAGCTTCTTCCCTCCAAAGAAAATATGCATTCTTTTTGTTGTGAGACTGGGAGTTGCCCTGATGGGCATTGCTTTAGTTCTGAATCAGGGGGTCTCAGGTTATGTCTTCTATTCCCTTTCTCTCAGTTGTGGAACCAAGGTTAAGTCCCTTGCTCCTTTGCACTTACCATGTAAGAAAGTATAAACAGAGCCCCACATTGTTCGTATCCCTTGATGATGTCCTTAGGTGAATCATTTTGATTCTTCCTGGCTTAATGATAGCACTTTGATGGCCAGTTTGGTCTCTTAAGTTGCACAATTGGTAACATATATTCTTTTTACAAAACTGTAGGAACTAGTCCAGGCTAGTGAGCGATTAAAAAACCAATCCAAAGAGCTGAAAGACGCACACTGTCAGAGGAAACTGGCCATGCAGGAATTCATGGAGATCAATGAGCGGCTAACAGAATTACACACCCAGAAACAGAAACTTGCTCGACATGTCCGAGATAAGGAAGAAGAGGTGGACCTAGTGATGCAGAAAGTTGAAAGCTTAAGGCAAGAGCTGCGCAGAACAGAAAGAGCCAAGAAAGAGGTTAGTAGTTAGGCAGATTTCATAGTGCCCGTGGGTAGTGATGGACACTGCCTTTTGAGATCAGTGAAAAACTGTGCATCTCATTCTTTGTTTGGAGAGTCATTAGTGGTACTATGTTATATGAATTTCAACACTTAAGATGGAAACAAACTATAATTCTGAAATCTTCATTTAATTTTCAAGCTGGAAGTTCACAGGGAAGCTCTAGTCGCCGAGGCGTCTAAAGACAGGAAGCTGCGTGAGCAGAGCGAACACTACTCGAAGCAACTGGAGAACGAGCTGGAAGGACTGAAGGTATCTTTGGCGTCACATTCTGTATTTTCTTCTCTGTAGGCGTGACAGGAGTGTTAGCTTTTATACTTTACTTGGTGTAGAATGAGGACTAAATGTCCTTCATTGTCATTCTTAATTCTCATCAAGGTTTTTTAATCATGCTGAAGAGAAAGTCTGTGTTTAGTGGAGAATATGAGCTTACCAAGAGGGAGTTAGAATTAGGATATTTATGGAGGATTGACTACCTGAACAGGATGTACTTGCTTGTGAGCAGTACCTAGGACCTTCGTCTTTTGTGAATGAGTATTGTCATTCATGGCTACAAATCTTTCAATTCCCGTGTCTCAATTTCCTTAAAAGAAAATAGTGCTGTAATGGTTAATTTTGATTGTCAAATTAATGAGCTTGAGGAATACCTGCAAGATTGATAAAGCACAACTCTCCATTTGTCTGAAGTTGTTGCCAGAGACAATTAGATCATGACGGCTCTGACCCAATGAATGAAGGAATCTCTTAATGGACTCATAACATTATGGAATTATTATTGGTGAAAAGGAAGAGGTAGGACCCAACTGGAGGATGCAGGTTATCAAGGGCATGTCCTTAAGGGTGACATCTGACTCTGGGTTCTTCATGCACTTCCCTGTCTCTGCCTGCTGTTTGTTTTGCGGTAAACAGCCTCTACCTCCACATCCTCCTGCTGCCAGGACATCCTGCCTCAGCATAGACTAGTGCTCCAAGTCTGTGTCAAGGACTATAACGTGAAATTGGTGGAACCATGGCTAAGTAGTTCTTCCCTTTCAGTTGTTCTGTCAGGTATTTCAGTCAGAGCAATGAGAAAACTAAATAATGCAAGTGTCTAAGCTTTCTTCCTGTTTATACTTTATAGTTCTTTTCATTACCTAAAGAACTTAGAATACTGTTGGAACAAAAGTAGATGAGGGATAAAAGGTGCTTCAGCCAGTAATTCCTTCTCACAGTAATCTTGCTTTACATGAGAACACACAAAAGGCGTATTTCTCCTAAAGCTAATGAAGCCTCTGCATTTTCTAAGTCTTGGTGCTAAGTTCTATATAATAGTTTAATTTTTACTTTTTTCTAAAATAAATATCGCTACATTGAAAACTCCAGATCACATATAGTTCCCTCTTTTTAGACACTCATAAATTTGAGATTAGAACTACCCAGTAAATAATGTATTTAAAGAGCTTATATATAGTAAAGTTTCATAAGTGTTTGCTATGATTGCAACCAGAATATCCTTTTATTTGGGTGTTTTGTTAATTTTTTGTGTGTAGGAACTCATGTTATTCAGACAATACTGTCTTTATTCTGAGTCTGCATCATTTGCTGTCATGTGTACAATGACAGTGGTATTAGCAGTACTGATCCTGTTAGGTGATACTAGCAGTGATGGCAGAGGCTGACATCTCTGTATCTGTATCATTTAATAAAATAAAAGGGCAATCATATATCCCTTTTCTAAGCCTTTTAGAGTAAAAGAGGTATGGAGTATAGGCTGGCAAAAGATGAAGCATTTCTGGTGGAGAGTAGCAGGGCTGGTATGTGCTCCACTAGCTTAATTTATATGCTATTCTGTGTACAGGATGTATACTGTGGCTCTTCCTGTACAGAGATGTGTCATAAGATCAGCAGAAAACATGACATGGTTCTCCCTACCCTCTTTTTTTTTTTTTGGCAGGGGGGTTGTGGGGCTTGAATTCAAGGCCTGGGTGCTGTCCCTGAGCTCTTTTGCTCAAGGCTAGTGCTCTACCACTTTGAGCCTCAGTTCTACTTCCAGGTTTTCA